GTTTTCTAGGACCTGAAAGCTTGGATATTTTACAAGGGCACTCAAGAGCAACTATATTTTTGATATGCAACAATGCTGCACAGGGGATCTTGTCTTCTTTTTTCTTCAAATATGCTGGTAAGCTTTTTTCAGACTACATATTATTTTAACAGTAGATATCTCTGCGCTGCATTACATCAGTAAATGTTGTAAATCAGGTTATGACTGAGATGCTACTGTTTTATGGATCAATTCAACTAAATTTTGGCTGAAACTATGATATTCTTTCATAAGTTTCTCATTGCACAATGAATTGAAGGCTATGAATGATTTAGAATTGCACAAATATCACCAAATACAATTTGAAACAAAAGATTTGGGCAGACCAAAAAAAGGGGTCAAACATAGTGGGACAGTTAGGGTAGACTCTAATTTCTTGCTACTGGTATTGAAATGCACTAAATTGTCCGAACTTTATTTTATGGATGCAGATACAATCCTGAAGAAGTATTCTTCGACTGTTGCCACAATTTTCACCGGAATAGCATCTGCTGTTCTGTTTGGCCATACACTGACTATGAATTTCATTTTAGGAATCTCTATTGTTTTCATCTCAATGCATCAGGTAATTGGTGAAAGCTTCTTGTCTATCTCATCGTATTGTTTTCCTTATAAATATTCATTGTTTCAGCTGTTTGTTTCTAGCAGTTCCCAGAAAATATACTCCGTATACTCTAAACTCTCATGGTACCCAATCTCATCTTATCTTAACTTATATCTGTTCAGTTCTTTTCGCCCTTGTCAAAGGTCAAGGATGAGCCACAAAATGGTACTTTGGAAATCATAGATACTAAGTTCAGGTGCAGCCATATTCCTTAATATTTTACTTTATTTCCAGTATTGCAATGTTTTTCATTGGAAATCCCTTCACCCCAAAATTAAATATATTAAATTTAGTTAAACCAACAATAAATATAAAAATTTCATCACCGTGATTTGCAAAACGTTTGCAGGTCAAAGGATTCATCATTTTTAGATATGACTGCTGGAGCCCATGAAGATGTGAGACTCCATATATACTACAAAAACAAACCTCCAATTTTTCCCTTCTTTAAGCTCATCATCATCATTTCAGTTATTTATCTGACACTTATTTTCCTCATTTTTACAGGCAAGCCATCGTGTTGCCCTCGATGACAGAGAACCACTTCTTCCTAGATAAAAACTATCTATAGGTAAATTCATTTGTTTTTTTTTGGAAGGGCCAAAGTAAAGGTGTGAACTCATGATATCTTCCTGGCTTTGGTTTTGTTGTGTTTACGAAATGCAACATATTAAATGTATAAAAACTTTAGTTGAAAGAACTGTCACATTCCAGTGTGATAAACATAAACTTTATTGTAACGTTGAGGCCACAGGTTCAAGCAATATGAGTTGATTTTTGCTAGGAACCAGAAACCCTTTCAGCTAGCTATGATTCTGATCGAGATTATTTCAGGTAAATCTATCATTGGACTCGGCACATTCTTTGGCTTGTCAAATGTCGATATGGACAGACAGTACAGATGTTGGACCATTTTATAGTACATGTAATAATGATATGATGATAAATGTCAATTGTGTGTTACAATTCCTCCCAATTCGGTAGCGCATGCGGCGTGAGAGGGCGGGCGGGCAGCATTACAATTTTGAAGCATGGTATAGGGGAGGATATTTGTGTATTTATTGCTTCTTTGGCGTAGAAAAATTACAGAAACTCTTTCAGATCGGTTTCCATTTACTACATTCTGTATTTGTCTTCATTCTTTCCTCGTTTTTTTATCCGTTTCAAAATTATCATTCTCCTTTTCAAGAAAAATATGTGATTAGTATTTGTCCTCTTTTATGCATTGATCTCAGTTACACGGTTTCACTTTGTTAGAGACCATGCCAACTGCAATCATAATTATGGGACTGTGGGAATGCTACAAATTATATTTTGAAGTACTGATAAGATCTTTGCTTGAATAGTTTAAATGTTTGATTATCTGCCGAATGGGGACGGCTCATGTCACATTGAGACCAATGTCATAACATGACCCGAGCTTCCTATAGTGTTCCATTCAAAAAATTGATGCTTTCTACCCTTGAACCCCCCTACCCCAGTACCCCTCCCCCTCACACTTTGTCGATTGTTGTGATGTGTTTTATACGCCGTACCTTTTAACCAAAACTAGATCATATCAGAAAGATTAAATTGGATAAATTTTTATTTGAATCAAATCAAACCGGAATTATTCAAATCGGGTGAAACGAAAAGAACGAACTCAAAGTTTGAATCTATGCATAATGAATAGAAAACCTCATTTTGGGGTAAAATGACTACGGACTACTTGTTACATGCATGGAAAAGAAGGGTTGGTTACTGCAATTATTTTTGGTGTAAACATTGGATTTTGTATTCTCATTGCATATGCTGATATGCTAATAAAAAAATGATATTGTTTTTCGCAAAACAAAGAAAATTTCATATTTTTTCAATTCATTTTATTAAAAAATTGATATAAAAATAATAGTAAACTTGCACTCTCTCCATCCCATAATGGATGCCACACTTCAAACAAAGTGTGAAATTTTTTTCACTTTAAAAATCATCTCTATTACAAACTGGTATAAAAATAAAAAATGTAAATTACATTATTTAAAAGTACACAAAATAAATAAGAGATGACAAAAATATTTTAATTTATCAAATTATTAATGAAAACATACAAACAAACAAAAGTTATTGAGAGAGCGTAATAGGAATAATAATATCTATTTTGGGACGGAGGGAGTATATTTTAAAAATACGTCAAAACTTTTACAAAACAAAGAATGACAATAGCTTTTTACAATACTGTATCACATAAGTAATAAAAAACAAAAAAAATAAAGTTATACTCCCTTCGTCCCAAATTATTTGTCACATTTCTATTACCGAGGCAAAATATCAAGTTTTTTCGATTCATTTTATTTACATATTGGTAAAGAAATAAAAAATAAAAATTACATATAAAAAACTACATGAAAAGTTCTTCGAAATAAGAGATGTCAAGAATATTTTATTTTATCAAATAACTAATGAAAACGTAGAAATAAACAAAAGTTCTTGCGACTGTTGAAAAAAAAATGTGGCAAATAATTTGGGACGGAGGTAGTAGCAAATTTGGAATATTGGACAGGGCATAGGATGAAGGGAGTATTTTGATTGTGCCTTAAACAAATGAGTCATTAAGATAATGTAAAATCCATGGATTGTTTTAAGTCTAAGCATAGTTTGGTAAATTTTATTGTATTTTATCAGTAGAATTTTGTCTGATTGTGTATAATACATAGATTATTTGTACATAAATATAAATTATTTTATAAATTTATACAATGTTGTAAAATCAACTATTGTAAAATTGGCAATGGGGAGTGGGCCACGCATGGCGAGCAATGCTAGGAGTACACCAAAGGTATACCCCAAATGTACACCACTATCTTCTCCACCACCCATTTTTATTTGATTTTTATTTATTTATTTATTTTTGAATTTCTTGCCAATTTATGTGGACAAGGAGGGGGTGAGGGATATTTGGGGTACACCTTTGGTGTATCTCTAGCATTTTTCTCCTCCATGATATGCAAGGCATAACTTCCGTTTTTTTGTTTTTTTTTCTTTCAAAAACACACAAAAAATTATACAAGAAAGAAGCATTTTTTAAAGTACATCTATTTGGGGGGGGGGGGGGAATTT